TATTCCTTTTCTTTTGACTCTTACAGATACTTTACAAATTATTCAGACAGCAACTTTCTCTAATCAACATAAAAGTGAAACCTAATTTTAAGTTTTATACATAATTAGTTGATATAATAATTTTAGTTTTCCCATTAAAAAACTCTTCAGTTTTAAAGATCTTGTCAAATGAGTGGCAAGATGGATCATGTTCTTCTATTTTTCTTTCACATTTGTTTCAATGTTTTTCCAAGGGTTTTTTTGCTATATTTTTGGTTGTGTTCCCCACAATATTCTAGTTTTTGGATAACATTCTTTTGTTTTTCATCAGAATTTTTCAGTTTTTTATAATTTTCTTCTTCTTTCTTTCCAGATCTTTATGCCATAGTTATAATATTTCAAAAATCCTCTCAATTTGTATACGTTTTAAACCCACAACCATTTTTAGATATTAATATCACTCTTGAGATCCCAGTTTTATTTACCAGATTCTGTTGGGAATGAAAATTATTCACAAACTTGTTGAGGAACAAAACTACATGTTTTTTATTATAGATACATAAAAGTAACAATCTCCTTTTTAAATATCCTGCATCCAACAGAAAAAAATATTTATTCATTATGAAATTTCACTTATAATGAAACTGGTTATTAATCTCAAAATACAATTCTACTTAATCTCATTTTCAGTCACATAAATAAATGGAGCCAAAATATTACTATAATTGGATGAATACAACATCTATCCATGAAACTTGTTGTACATGATGTAAAAAATATTTAGTTTTTTTGTACAATATTTTGCTTATGACTGTTTTGTAACAAAGAAAAAATAATTTTGGCTACAGCTGTAATAAGTGTTTTCCTTCAATTATATAAACCTCAAATATAAATATCTAGCGTTCAAAAGTGTTCACTATTTAGATAAAAAATACAAAACAGTAAGCACCTGTGAATGACTTAAAATGTCATGTCTCATTGACAGAGTAATTTTCTGCAAGTGTTTTGGGATTTTCAAATTTATAAGACTCTCTTCTGTTCTTTTCTTCTGCAGGAAAAAGTAAAAAATCAGAATTGTTTCTGGTAAAAAATTAAGTATTTATTGTTAATAAGGGATAAGTGGTTTTTTTTTCACATACTTGAGTTTTAAATTTTTTTTTAGTCAAACAAAATTAAACATTTAATTACAAGTAGCTTTAATTAATCATACCAAAGTTGAAAGTTAAGGTACAGATTCTCTGAAGCTGTTACATATTGAAAATGATAAGTTCTGGAAATCTCCATGTGATTTGAACAGGTTTTATACTTATTCTGCACCCAACATTAATAAATTAAGAGGGTTTGCCAAAATAATCTGGCTTAAATAAACTGTGATAAAAGCTAAAAAATTAAGCATTATTAATTTAAATTGTTGTGAAAAACTTTTATGCAAATTTTAACTCATTTTATGAGCCTCCTGTCTTTGTGTAAAAGTACTTAAAATCTTGTTTTGTAAAAAAATGTTTCAATTGTGAAGATAAGAAAATTTTGGAGAAAACCTATATAGCATATATCAGTACTAATATACAGGGGGACCTGTAACTGATAATGATTACATATATGAGCAATGTTTTCCAAATAAGTCTACAGAAGAACAAAAAAAAGTTTTACAACATGAAACAAATATGTGACACATACCTTAAGTGGTATTTTAATATTCATCATTTCTGCATAACGAGTAACAAGGTCCCATGGAGAATGAATTTTTAGGAAATATGTCTTACCATCATGTGAAAGCTTAAAAAATAAAAACAGTAATAGAAAATTGATGACAGTTTCATTTCTTTCAATAGATTCAAACTATGTTTAAATTATCAATAGTGTGACAAATAGAAAAAAAAAAGAGATATACTAAAATATATCATGATTGAAAACATTTTAGGTCTTCGCACAGTAAACACACAACATAATTTGTATTTACTTATTATTCAATTTGAAATTGTTTTTACTGTACTGACATAATAATATCAGTATAAAACGGAATTTCAAACAATATAACGTAGCTCTGTGTTTAACTACAAACAAATTCACAATATAATAGCAAATTCAGTTCAAACTTTTACGCATACATTACTATCCAAAAATACTCTAAATGTTGAAAAAAACTATAGCAATAAAATACTGTACAAAGTAATCTCTTAAAATCCTCTATAATGAAACAAGGCCCCCCCAGTGGCACAGCAGTATATCTGTGGACTTATGATGCCAGAAACTGGGTTTCGATACCCGTGGTGGGCAGAGCACAGATAGCCCATTGTGTAGCTTTTGCTTAACTTCAAACAAACAATATGAAACAAGTTCATACAGACACAAGTTTTGACATTTCCATGTGCCCTCTTCAGTACAGCTTTTGTCTGTGAAAGAAACACACATCTACACAGAGCTTATACTAAAGAGAAAGTTTCATGATGCTTCAGGGCATCAGAGTCAAAAAGGAGTTCAGCTTAAAGTACCCTTCAGAGATATTAAAGTTTGGCAACCTTTTGAATAGCAAACTTTTTACAGTTTTTCTTTTGATATAATTTCTAGTTTATTTGATAATCAAGATTCCTCATGTAAAGAAAAATAGGAATTTTTGCTTGACCATTTTTAGCATACTATTTATGTTACATGAGTCTTGTATCTAAATTTCTTCACGATTTTATCAATAAAGACTTTTTTGCAGAACTGGCATGATACTATATAGGAACATTTCTCTTATCTTGAGGTGCAGGTGTTCAAGGGTAAGAAACTTATTCTATCTATGCCAATTCATTTTTAACAATAAATGGATGTTTCAACTAAAAATGTGGTATTTTAATACTTAGTCATATTTATTTTAAAAGCCAGGTAGAACACTTATCACTTTAAAGCACTACTCATTACTTATAAAAAAAAAAGCTCATTGTTTAAAGTAATGTATAGTACCTCAAACGAAAAACCAGTAACTACTCTACATAGGATTTAGAATGAAAATAATTGTTTTATTATAAAATTGGACCTTCATCAATCTCTGTACATAATACCAAAAACCTGTAGACAAAACCAAAGCTTTCATTTAAAATGTTTTTTTTAATGTTGTAAGC